CCTGGATTGGCCTCATGAGGTTGTTGCTCCCCACCCTTTTCTGTGGTGTCATGGCTTTTCTACCTCTTTGCATTGGGGATGGAGGGCAGGGTTGCAGCACCACCAGGTGGCCGTGAGCCAAATGGCAGAAGCACTTGCTCTGACTCCAAAGCCTGACAGGCCAGGTGTGGCACGCCAAACCTCAGGGTGGCGGCCAGAAAGGATGTGGGGCAGGCCACCAGCCTGCCACTGAGGGCGATGGCAGGTTCCCACCATGCAGGTCCCGCAGCGGCTCGGCCATCACCTTCAAGGAGTAAATGCTTCGCCTGGCTTGTTGCCCATCCCACTCCCACCTGTGGCAGTAAAGTTTGTTAGGAAGGAAGGAAGGGGCGTGGATTCAGCTGTGGATCAGAGCCCTGTGGCTCGAGGGTCACTTGGGTGCAGAGGGGAGAAGTGAAGGGCAGCGGTGCTTTGTCTCCAGCACCCAGGGAGCATCCTGTCCCAAGCGGATCACCAGCCTTCGCCATGGAAGGATGTGGGTCCCATTCTGGGACTGCAGCTGGGCGTGGTGGTCTGATTCCTTCTTGAGTGTCTGGTGAGGGAGCCAGCAGCGTCACTGTCTTAGCTTTCCAGGTGGCACGGTGGCCCTTCCCCTCCCAGCCAGGGTGGCCGGGTTTGTAGAATCACAGCTGCTTGTTCATGCCACACTTGGCCCTGTCACCATGGCTCCTTCCCCTTTCTGGGCCAGTGCCCCTTCATTAGATCTTAGCTGCTGCGACCAGCACAGACATAATGACTAAAAGCCATGCATGAGGCTGGCGCCTGGGGCAGGTGCACAAAGCTTCCGGAGAGAATCCATCCCTGGCCCCAGCATCTCCCAGAAGCCAGTGCAGATCTCGGCCTGTGGCTTCCCTCCTCCTCATGTCTCGCACTGCTCTTCCTTGGTCACACCCCAGCAGACTCCTCTCCTGTGCTCTCCTCTGCTCGGAGCCAGAGCCCCCTGCTGTGCCAGGTCATACCTGCACAGCTGGGTAACACTCCACCCTGCTGCTTCCCTCACCTGGTCGCCCATGGACGGCCACACACCTGCTGGCTCAAAGAGACACCTGCATCCTATTATGAGCAAAGCTCTTGTTTCCTGAAAGAGCAGGTGGCAGGCAGGAAATAGGGAGAATTTTGGAGTTTTTGGATTTACGGGAAAGACAGCTACCTCCAAGGCATGTTGTTTTATTACATCTGCCTTGAAGTGATATGATCAGGACCCCAAGCCTCTGCCCTGTAAATTCCTGTCACATGCTTTCTGTTTTGTGTCATTATTAGTCCCTAATCATGTACTTGCTCACTGTCACGTAGCTTTTGATTCTTTTACTATAAAAGCCCCACAATTGCTTCATTTGGGGCGCTTCTTGTTTATGGTAAGAGGTTGCCCCTTGGACTAGACATTAGTCATCTCACTCACCTTGGAGTCTCGCTCGGATTCTTTGAACCCCAGCACCCGCTCTGCGTTTTCTTTTCCCATAGTGGTTAACTTAGCTTCGTCCAGGGTGCGCTTGGCTTTCCTGGCTGGGATTTCGGCACCTCGGGAACGCTGGTGTGTGAACACGGAGTAAGGGCCAGAGCTGTGGCACTGCAGGTGAGGCTGCCAGCATCCTGGCCAGCTCCCTGCCATTGTGCCTGGAAGCAGCCAGAATGCACAAGGGTTGCGGCAGAGCGCTCCCCGCCCGTGTGGGAGACCCGGATGGAGTTCTGAACTTCTTGTTTTGACCAGGAAATGGAATGTGTCCATTTCACTTTCCCTCCCTCTTTTTTGCAATTCTCTTAGCCCTGGGATGTGGTCTGTCTCTGCCTTCAGTTTCTTAGTGTAGACCTGAATGACCACTAGAGAAAATGATGCAGAGTAGGGTCGTGACGTTGGAGGAAGTGAATGAAGGTTGTGGGTGATGGAAAGCGTGGTGGTTGCCAGAGCTGGGGGAGGGGAGGCAGGGGACGGACTGGGAACGGGGGCTTCCGCAGTGACGCGGGCAGCAGCCATTTATCCCACACAGATGCACTACAGGGAACTGGGCTGTGGCCGGGACACAGAGGAGGCCTGCCCTCTGCTAACCAGCTTCCTTCCTCATCTGCTCACTCAACCCTTTCTGCCGTGGTGTTGGGGTGCCTTAGTTACCCCAGTTCTCCAACCGTGCTTTCTTGTGAATCTGTTGGGGATTTCAGCCATCACGTATTAATAGCAGTACTCTCTTGAGCTGAGGTCTTGAGATCCGAGGCGTAGGTGTGGGTGCTGGGCTGCTTTTAGCTCCTGAGGATATGGGGCCCCACTGCTGGCTGCCCAAGAAGGAGGGGTTCTGTCACAGGAAGTAGTTGTGGCACTTAACAAAGACCCTTCCCAGGAGCACCCCAGAAAGCTCTGGGGTCAGACAGCACCACACTTTTGTTTTTCTCCTTTGACAAGAGTGAAAAGCAGCGCCCTCCTGTCTGCTGCTTCACCCCCAGGGCCTGTGCCGGGAGCTGGTGCACACGTCCTGGGGGACAGCACCCCTGGCTACTGAGCTCTCCTGGAGCTGACACCAGCAGAGTTAGGAACCGAGGTGGAGGTCACCCCAGTGTGGGGCGCAGGCTTCCTGTCCACACTCCACGCAGTGCACCCTGGTTTAGACCAGGCCGACTCAGTAATGAGGGCCCAGTGGTTAGGATGCCAGCTTGGGTTTAAAGTATAGGCGCCTGGGCGTGGTGCCCGGCTCTGGTCCTGACAGCTTTCTGCCCGTGCGGAGCCTGGAAGGTGTTTTGAAGGAGTTGGGTCCTTGCCAGCTACAGGGGAGATACGGGTCCTGGTGCCCAGCCCTGACCTCGCCCTGCCTCAGCCTTTGCAGGTGTCTGGAAGGTGAGTCAGCAGTGTTCTTTGTCTCCCATTGTCTCTGTGCCTAGAAAGTAAAATAGGAAACATTTTTTTTTTTTTAAGATTTATTTTTATTATTTTTTATTGGAAAGGCGGATATACAGAGAGGAGATACAGAGAGGAAGACCTTCCATCCGATGATTCACTCCCCAAGTGAGCCGCAACGGCCGATACTATGCCGATCCGAAGCCAGGAGCCTCTTCCGGGTCTCCCACGCGGGTGCAGGGTCCCAAAGCCTTGGGCCGTCCTCGACTGCTTTCCCGGGCCACAGGCAGGGAGCTGGAAGGGAAGCGGGGCTGCCGGGATTAGAACCGGCGCCCATATGGGATCCCTGGCGTGCAAGGCGAGGACTTAACCACTTGCGCCACCGCGCCGGGCCCAGGAAACATTTTTTTTTAGAAACAGTTAAGAGGTCCATGTGAAAGGCAGAGGGTGCAGTGGAGGGCGGGGGCCTGGCGAGCAGACAGGCCCACACTGCCACTCAGTTCTCCACAGCGGGCAGGCATGCAAGTGGGGAAACTGAGGCACTGAGAGGCTACGCCCTGTCCAGAGCCTACAGCTAGCCACTGACTGAAACAGCAGTTTCAAGGAAAAAGAAGGATTTGGAGTTGTTGGAACTGAGGGACAGCCCAGTGGCCAAGAAGGGACAGAGTCCATGGTTCGCGGCCCGCCCTGGGGTGAGAGTTGGTGGTTTGCTTCACCCAGTGTCCTCCGCCTCCCGCTGTGTGCTGGGCGAGGGAAGTGTGTACACGCGCTGTGCTCTCAGGGTTGGCCTTGGCCGCGCAGAGATCTTCTCACAGCCTGCACACCTGCTGTGGGCTGAGCTGAGTGCTCATGGTGTCTGCTCCCTCCTCTTCCTCGCCACCCTTCAGAGGCTGCCCCCACGCGAGCCTAGTTCCACACTTAAACTGGAGCGTATCAGGTTCGGTCAGGCTTTGGGACCCAGCTGCTGCTCTTGGGGCTCCAGTTCCTTTTCTGGCTGTGTGGGCGGGACCGGGCTGGGGAGGCAGAGGTCTGCAGGGAGTCTCATGGGACTGATAGCAAACTGTGTCTGGACTGGAGGGGATCATTGCTGTACTTAGCCTCCACCGCCTTGAAGCCCACTGCCTGACCCTCCTGGCTTCTCTGGGCAGAACTCTCGGCCTCCTGCTTGCGTTTAGGGTCCTCCAGGGGCAGGGATCCGGTTGAGGCCATCTTGGGTGGGCGCACTGTGCAGTCCCCCACTCCAGCTCTGCTAAAAGCCTTCGGACCCAGCCAGGCTTGGTCTGGGTGCTGCTGCCCTCTGCCTGCCTTTGCTCCCCCAGACACCCGCTCCAGAGTCCCCTCCTTAACTCCTCTGAGGTGATGCTAGGTCTGGGGTCTCTGTAGTTCATTAACTGTAGATTGTTCATTTACATTGTAATGATGGAAACTCACCTTCCACTTCTTCTTGTCCTCAAGTTGAATTCCTGCCCCAAATCTGGTTCCACATTGGTTCATTTCCCCATAGAGAAGGCCTGGAGATCGAGGGAGAAGGCAGCCCAGCCCATCCCCACTCTTGCCTCTTGCCTCAGTCTGTGTCTCCCATGCCCGCTGGATTGCCTTCTGGTTGGTCTTCCATGCCAGGTAGGGGTTAGGAGTCAGGCGGCTGGAAGTCGGTGACTCTACCAAGCTGTCCCCCTCTGAGTCCCCGTCTGTCCTCTCACATGAAGACAAGAGCCCCCAGGCAGGGGCCCAGGCCCCTCATGGCCGATGTCCAGTGTGTGGTAGTCTACATTGGGACGCCGCTTGCACACAGGTCTTGCACTCGCCCCTTCCTTACCAGTACTGTTTACTGTTCCCTTTGCACCTGGCACACAGCACTGGTGAATGCTTTTAGGGGTGGGGCTGCTGAGCACCCCAAGTTACATGTGACCTTGGTGTTGTCTCCAAGCACTTCGATTCGGACTGTAGGGCAGAAGGCCGCCCCCATGCAGAGCGTATCCAGCGGGGGCTTCTGGGTGGGCCCTTGTGCCTGGTGAGGAGGCAGCGGTGCTGCGTGTCGAGATGACCCAGCCCGGCCCCTTCCCGCCCTGCGTGTCCTGGCCTTGTCTGTCCAGACTGCCATCTGACCTTTTTGCTTCCTCTGCTCTGAACACCTTCCCAGTTTGCAGATCCTGCCAGAACTGCTGGAGCCGGAGCAGCTGTAGCCACCAGAACGGAAACCATGAGCGGGTTTAATTTTGGAGGCACCGGGGCCAGCACAGGCGGGTTCATGTTCGGCACTGCCAAGGCAGCGACCACCACCACCACCACGCCCTCCACGGGCTTTTCTTTCTCTGCATCCGGCACTGGAGGCTTTAACTTCGGGACTTCCTCCCAGCCAGCTGCCAGCACCCCCTCCACCGGGCTGTTTTCTCTGACGACGCAGACTCCGGGATTCAGTTTTGGCACGAGCATGCCTGCTGCCAGCAGCTCTGGCTTTTCCTTAGGTCTCAGCACCCCAAAGCTGAGCCTGGGCAGCACGGCCGCCACCCCAGCCACAGCAAACCCCAGTGGCTTCGGCCTGGGCAGTAGCACCCTCACCAATGCCATCTCAAGCACCGCCACCTCCAGCCAGGGCACAGCACCCACTAGTTTTGTGTTCGGCTCCAGCACAGCCTCGACCTCCGCGACTCCAGCCACCACCTCTGGAGGCTTCTCGTTCACGGGCGGAGGCACGTCCCAGACGGCGGCCTCTGGCTTTAACATTGGCTCTGTGGGGAATTCAGCCACCCAACCTGCCACCCTTACCAGCTTACCCTTCACCTCGGCCACACTGGCAGCCACTGCGGCGGGAACCTCTCAGCCAGCTGCACCCACACCTGCTGCCACCACCTCCATTGCCGGGCCCTCCCTCTTTTCCTCAATAGCAGCAGCTCCCACCTCGTCCACCACTGCCGGGCTCTCCCTCGGCACCCCAGCGACCTCCTCTGGGGCTCTGGGCACTGGAACGTTGAACTTCAGCGTGAAGCCCCCTGGAACAGCTGCTGGTACCTCCTCAGCAACTTCCACCACCGCCACCAGCACCAGCAGCACCACCAACACCGGCTTTGCCTTGAATCTGAAGCCTCTGGCGCCCATCGGCATCACCAGCAGCACAGCTGCCACAGGGAGCACCCCGGCTGCCCCCGGGGCAGGTGGCGGGGCGGCCGGCAGCAGCCCCACCATGACCTACGCCCAGCTGGAGAGCCTCATCAACAAGTGGAGCCTGGAACTGGAGGACCAGGAGCGGCACTTCCTGCAGCAGGCTACCCAGGTCAACGCCTGGGACCGCACCCTGATTGAGAACGGCGAGCGCATCACCAGCCTGCACCGCCAGGTGGAGAAGGTGAAGCTGGACCAGAAGAGGTTGGACCAGGAGCTCGACTTCATCCTGTCGCAGCAGAAGGAGCTGGAGGAGCTGCTGAGCCCCCTGGAGGAGGCCGTAAAGGAGCAGAGTGGCACCATCTACCTGCAGCACGCCGACGAGGAGCGCGAGAAGACCTACAAGCTGGCCGAGAACATCGACGCACAGCTCAAGCGCATGGCCCAGGACCTCAAGGACATCATTGAGCACCTGAACACAGCCGGGGGCCCCGCCGACAGCAGCGACCCCCTGCAGCAGATCTGCAAGATTCTCAACGCCCACATGGACTCCCTGCAGTGGATCGACCAGAACTCGGCCCTGCTGCAGCGCAAGGTGGAGGAGGTGACCAAGGTGTGCGAGGGCCGGCGCAAGGAGCAGGAGCGCAGCTTACGCATCACGTTTGACTGAGCGTGCGGGGCTGGTGGGTGGGGGCGCTGAGGGGCCGGGCCAGCCATGTGCCTTCCAGTGATTCTGTTGACAGTTGTTCTGCATTGGCCTTGCCCCAGGAGCAGATGTATAGGGAGTGACCTCCTGTGATTCAGGCAGCAGCCAAGGGGCAGCAGCTGTGTCTTGGGTGGGTGTGGCCCCTTTCCCTCACTGCAGCCCACCTCGTCCTCGGGCCGGCCAGGGACCAGGGTTGTGTTGCCAGCACCTCTGCCCAGTTGCAGTGCAATGAGGAAACTGAGACGGGTGTCTGTGCCCAGAGCCCTGGCAGCCTGGTTACAACACTCAGACCGCGTGCACGTGCAGGCTCACCTGGTAGCAAGACGAGTGGAGCTGGCAGCACACAGCCTGTGCCCGGGGGGCACACCCATGCTGGTCCAGCGTGAGCCCTCGTGGGCAGGGACTGACTGTTACCTCCCTTTGTCTCCAGCGCAGTCCCTATCAGTGAAGACAGGATGAAGGGGAGACCTGGCCTGACGCTGACCCACAGAGCACCTGCCAGTGACCCCCAAGCTTGCTTTTGCCAAAGTTAACTAAGGCTCGCTCCGTGAGGCCCTCACGTGCAGCAGGAGCCAGCTGCTCCTGTCCCGGATGACTTCTGTTTGTACTTGGCTGCTTTCTCTGAAATATCCACGGCTGTATATTGCTTTCCTGAATAAACGTGAAATAAACACAAGTGGTGTGAATGTGTGAGTGGGAGAATCTTCTAGAAGGTTGTGTCTTGTTAGCCACCACTGGGCTGACATGAATGGTGTGCGGGGAGCTTGGCTTTGCCAAACCAGAGGGCACAAAGCATGATGCCCTGTGGGAGCCGTGTCCACGACCCACCCCAGTCCCCACCTTGGCATTCCCCTGCTCACCCTCCTCAGGGTGATGCTCCAGGGCCCATTTTCCAGAAGTTTCCCAAACAGAATTCATTTGAGTTCTGGGGTCATTATTAGGTTCTTCGGGCAAAGGACAGGGAGGAAGAAGATGCAACCACCTCTGGCTTCTCACCGAGTTTCTCTGACCCTGCTCAAAGAGGACTCCTGGAAAGCAGACGAGGGCTAACCTGCCTGCGGGTTCTCGCTCGGCACCCATCCCTGGAGCACCTGCTGTGGCCTACACACTAGGTCAGCGTGCTGCAGTCTGCACGAGAAAAACAGTTGTGGACATTTAGATTGATTTCAAAGGCAGAGTACTAGTGAGCCTATCCAGGGGCTGACTTCCTAAATGACCTCAGCAGGCGAGGGCCAAGGCAGGAGCTCCGTGTGGGCCTGCCACATGGCTGGCAGCACCCGGCCCCAGGACTTGGGCCTGTGGCAGCAGGAGACTCAATTGGAGGCCGAGCAGCCTGGGCCACAAACGCAGTGCTCGCCTAGGTATGGGGTGGTCCGGCCCACTCTGCTGTGCCACAGCCCCGGCCTCTGAGCACACTTCTGTATTCCTGTTTCACATATTAAACCATTCAGAAAACTCAGTTGCCTTTGTGTATTTTTAAAATAAATATAATGTCTGTTCTCACCCTCAGAGATCTTCAGGTGTCCCAGTTTGAAGAACAAGACGGTTAAGATGATGATGATGGTGGGGTGGGGCGAAGCAGCCACCTGCTTCCTGGGGACGGGACCGGGAGGGACCTGGGCAGGCTTGGGTGCAGCCCTGTGGGTGCCAGGCTTCCTGGGGACTGGACTGGGAGGGACCCGGGTGGGCTTGGGTGCAGCCATGTGGGTGCTGGGCTTCCTTCTAACTGCACTTTCCCTTTCCAGGAAGAAAACAGATGTGTTTAGTTTCTTCTTGTCTTTAGTGTGAAGACCACAAATGTGACTGGATTTGGAGTCAGAGGTTTTTAAAGGTGAATCTCTTCCTCAGTAAGCACTTTGTGTATGTCCCCCATTTCAGGGGACAAAGAGCACCATTGGATTTAAGGTGGTGGCTTTCAACTGTGTTTATTTGGAAGGCAGGGTTACACACACACTCGCCCCAGCCCCATTGGTTCACTCCCCAAATGACCGCAGCGCCTGGGTCAAGGCCAAATTGGAGCCAGGAACTTTTGAGCCTCCACTTGCATGGCAGGGACTCACATACTTGAGCCAGCATGTGGCACCTCTTAGGTGCACCAGCAGGGAGCTGGCTCAGGAGTGGGGCTGCTGGCACTGGAGGCATCAGGGATGCAGGCAGCCTGGGTCTGCTTTGGAAGGTGGACCCAGTGAGCTGGTGCAGGACTCAGGGCGCCCAGCAGGAGGAGCAGGGGCTGACCAGCAGTGGCCACCAGTGGGATGAAGACAAACCAGGAACTGAAATTTGCAGTGTTGAGATAGTAAATTCACTTGAGGGTTTGTCTGTGAAGAGCAGGCAGATCATTGGGAGTTCTGAGTTAAATCTGTTAGTAATATTAGGTAGAAATTCTATTAAATAATTAATAGCTTAACTAAGCAAAAACCAAAGAATCCTGCGAGTTGAAGTCAGCTCTTGTGAACAACTGTGAGCCTGCTCCAGCTCACCACTGCTTCCAGGTTCTTGGGGAACCCCAAAAACCAGGGATACCCACTAATCCCAAGACAGGGTTAAGTGACCCCCAGCACCAGGCACCTGGCTTCTGGAGGCCTCTCCACCGTTGTACTTGACCTCCAGAAACACAAGGATCTGGTGGGGCAAGAGCCTCAGCCCCTGCCCAGCGCCCGGCCACGTGGGGCCCTCCCCCAAGTCCCGCAGGAGCAGATGGCAATGACAAGCACTGGGTGTCTAGCACTCCAGTGGGGCTTGTGGCTCTGATGGGAATCTTGGTTCAAACCAACCAGGTGTTAAAGATTTTGTAAGATAAGCCAGGAAACATGCATGCTGACTCGAAGTGAAGGAATTGGTGTCGTTAAAAATGAGACGTGATGTTATTTCTATTTTAAAACCAAGTAAGTCCTCTGCATGGCTGATTGTAGCTCTGCTGGCTACAGCCCTCCTTCCTTCCTTTATCTGAAAGGCAGAGTTAAGTCCTCCATCTTAGTCCACTCCTGATGGCCACAGCAGGCAAGCAGGACTGGGCTGGCCAGAAGCCGCGAACCTGAAACTATCCAGGTGCCGCAGGTAGCAGGGGCCCAGGCACTCGAGCCATCTTCATGCTGCTTCCCTAGGCACGCTAGCAGAGAGCTGAACTGAAATGGAGCAGCCAGGTGTTGAACAGATGCTCACACGGGGTGCCAGTGCCACACACCAGCTACCCCAGTGTAGAAAGGAAGCTTACCTGGCATGCAGCCGCCATTGCCTGCAGAGCCTTGGACATTTACCCCAGAGTGGGTGCCCAGCCAGATGCCTGTGCCCTGCTTTAAGTAATGGGGTGAGAGAAGAAAGGGGAAAAAAGTAATTGGGTGAGGGCATGGCACAGTGACTTAATGGACAAATCCTCACGTTGCCTTGCATGCGTCAGAATCTCATGTGGGCATTGGTTCGTGTCCTGGCTGCTCCACTATCCGTCCAGCTCCCTGCTTGTGTTCTAGGAAAGCAGTCGAGGCCAGCCCAAAGCCTTGGGACCCTGCACCCATGTGGGAGACCCAAAAGCTTCTGGCTCCTGGCTGTGGATTGGCTCAGCTCTGGCAGGGACCCATGCGCTCAAGCCATTTGGAGATGGAAGCAGTAGATGGGAAATCTTTGCATCTCCATTTCTCCATAAGCCTGATCTGCCTTTCCAACAAGGATAATTAACTCTGAATAAGTGGGTGAACACCACAGGGCTGTAAAGGTACAGCCTCCTCATTCCTGGCTTTTTGTTTAGAATTTATTGGAAAGATGAGGAGGTCACAGACGCATGTGGGCGCGTGTTCAGGGACGGAGTGGAACGTTTGGAGACCTGTCCTGTATCCATGGGAAGGGAAGTGGGTACATGACGCCACCTCCAGGCCCACATAGATGTGGGGGAGGGTGTCATTTGAAGATAGGCACATGGAATTTACATCTAGCTACCTGCCTGTCCTATTTCATTCCCTCCTCAGAGATTTCCAACCCTTGATCTCCAGGGTTGCTAAAGGGATACAGATTCCTCTTCTGCAGTTATTCCCTGTTGACTAGGGGTGTGGGGCCTGCTTATTCAGGGTTTGGGAACCTCTATTATCTAAAGAGTTCCTCTCATCAGCTGGAGAATTCCCGCTCGGTGCCTCTGGCTCACTGCTGCCTTCGTTGCACAGGAGCTGGCACCAGCAGTGTCCTAATCATGGAGCCCATGTGCCAAGGCAGGCCACCTGCCCGTGGGCTCGGGGTCCTGACGTGTCTGAGATCAAGACGAGATGAGCGCGGTCCCCTCCCCGCACAGACGGCGCAGTGACCTGGCCAGGGGCCCCCAGTCTGTGGGTCTCGGCCCCGTCTGCGTACCTCTGCAAGCTGCACGCTGAAGCACTCTGCGAGGGGCAGGCCAGCCCTCCCAAGCCTGCTCCTCTCTCCAACCCCACCCCAGGACCCGGGCTCTGGTCTGACAAGGGCAGCAGGACACATCTTCACCCTTCACCCCACTTCTGCGTCTACCCCAGGATGACTTCTGTCCCAGGCTAACCAGCAAGGCCATGGGTGCTGAGAGAGTCCCCCCGAGGCAGCTATGCAGTGAGTGCCCCCCAACCGATCCCCATCGGGGGCCCAGTGGCGGGGAGTAGGGGGAGGAGTCTGGAGATGGGGAGGGGGCCCTGTATGGAGGGGGCTCTCGTCCTGCAGTCAGACTAAAGGCTCTCTGCTCTGCCAGGGTTGCTGGGCAGATCCTGTGCCTGTCTGGAGGCTCTGGTTTTAACACTGGCCACCAGGATCTGTGGACAGCCGCAGAATTCCTGTGCAGGTGGCAGCAGCCCATCCCCAGTGTGCTGGGTGGTCTCTGTCAGATCTGCCAGGGGACCAGGTCTCTGGTGCAGGGAACGTAACCATTGGAGATGTTGTAGTTCTATAGAAGTCAACAAAATAAGGAAGGATTTTTTTTTCCTCTTAAGGCTATTTTTGCCCGGAATGATTAACATTTTCTAGAAACCACTAGATCAGAAAGCTGCAAGAAGGTGACAGGAAGCTTAAGAAAAGTCCCCAAAGGAGAAAGGCAATCCCCTGAATGCCCAGAATCTCCTGGCCCCAGAGCAGCCTGCAGGTTTCTGATCCTCTGCACTGGGCACATGCGACCGGGGCAGACCCCACCCAAGGGTGAGCCTGCTCCCCAAGCCCAGAGGGAAGCCTAGGCTGCCCACACAGGTTGCCCTTTGGCCAGCTGGAAACTCCCCTTGGTGCCAGTGTCCTCCGCTGTGGATGGGGACGCCTGTGTGCCTGTCAGAGTTGTTCCTGGAGCACCTGCTGCTGGCGGTTGAAGAGCCACGGTCACTGTCCCGCTCCATGGGCCCCGGGAGTCCACTGCCTTTGCCCGGCCTGGGCCTGGATGCCTGCCTGAACCCATCAGAGTCAAAGGGGCCCCCAGCACCCAGGACAGGCCCTGCCTCTGTTTCCTCATCTCTGAACACTCTAGGTCATGAGGAACATGGCTCCTGACCACAGGACCATTCTGGGCAAGTGCTAGCATGAACCCCTGTTCTGGTGTTGGGCTCCAACTCTGCCCCTTATCAGGCCTGGGCATGTGTGTCTGACTCTGTGGAACCCCACTCTGCTCCTTCAAGACTAAGTCTCCCCCACAGAGCAGAGAGCCTGACCCTCTAGCTCACCCCTCATCCTGCCCACTCCAGGACTCCTTGGGGCTGGGTCATAGGTTCACCACTGCCCAACCCTTGGAGCGAAGCACCCTGAGATGGCTCTGTGGAGGGGAGCATCCCATGAAGGGTCCCCCACCACGCCCTGCCCTGTGCCAGGGCTGGAGGAAGAGGCCGTGGGCATGTCTTGGCCCATCCTTGCACCCCAGCACTCCAGCACTCCAGCAGCTGGCAGTTCTCACCAGGGCTGTGTGCGGGACCTGGCCTGGATTCCCTCCAGGCTAACCTTGCAACAGTGGGCTCATCCAACAGCCACAGACAGGGCGAGGTCTAGCCCAAGGCCCCGTGCAGCATGTGTTGGGCTCAAAACCCACGCCCTGACCAGTTTGCTGTGCCTGAGTCTCAGGGGAGGTGAGTGGATCCCACCGCTTGCTGTGCGTGGCAGTGACCGACCGAGAGGACCCACCACGAAAGGCAAGCAGGCTGGACCCAGGGCTGCAGCCCAAAGCCAGCGCGAGTGCCAGGGAGGCTAGAAATGGAGGTGACGAGAGATGGGGCAGCCCCCGCCCTCACAAGCTTACCTGACCCTTTATTTCTGGCCTCCCAGCTGCCCCAGAATTATTTGGGGTGAGAGGAAGAAAATAGGGTGCACTTCCTCCAGGCCGGCCCCCTTTCTCCCACTGCTGCCCCTCTAGCGCCCACGACCTTCAACTCCAGGAAAGCAGTTTCATTTCCCTGCAGCCTGATTTCCCAAGGGGAGGGGAGGGGAGGGCGGGGCCTGGCCCTGCTGTTTAAGGGGAGTCGAAGGGTGAGGGGCCCCAGCTGCAGACTCCTGGTGGAGAGTGAGCAGCATGTCCTGTCCTGCCAGCCGACAACAGAGGTAGAAGGGTGGCCAGCACCAGGGACAGATGTGGGGGGACCACAGGGGCAGGTCCTGGGGCAGCCAGCAGTAGACCCCCAGGCTGGGAGAAGGTGGGAGCAGAGAAGAGAGGGTGGGGAGGCAGAGAGGGCTGAGCCCAGACAGGTGGGGGATGCTTGGGGGGGGTACGACCCAGAGGCAGCTCAGAGATGGAGCCGAGCTGGAGGAAACTGACCCCGGTCACAGTGATCCTGGCTTCCCCCCCCCCAGACGCACCCCTCACCTGCCAGCCATGGCCCCATTGGGTAAGTGAGCAGGGAAAGGGGACAGGGAGGCCCTGGGACAGTTGTGCGGCATGCCCCAGCCCGTCCTCTGACCCCTAGCCTCCTGTTCCCCAGCCCTGCGCCTCCTGGTGGTCCTCCCCACCCTCCTCAGCTTGGCAGCCTCCCTGGACTGGAAGGCAGCCCCCAGCCCGGACCCCTTTGCCAAGTGCATGCATGACCCCGACTACGAGCAGCTGCTCAAGGTGGTGACCCTGGGCCTCAACCGCACGCTGAAGCCCCAGAAGGTGATCGTGGTCGGCGCGGGCGTGGCTGGGCTGGTGGCCGCCAAGGTGCTCAGCGATGCCGGCCACAAGGTGAGGAGCACGGTGGCCCCCCACCGATGGCCCCAGGGAAATCCCAGTCTGAGTCAACTCTGAATGTGGGCTGGAGAGCAGGCAGATGTGTCCCTAGGCAGATGGGGGAGTATGCTGAGGACTGCCTGTTGCCCCTCAGGAGATCCCAGGCCCTCTGCCCGCGGGAGGCGGCCCGCTCCTGCACTGAGCTGCAGGTGCCTCCGCAGTCCAGCTGGCCGCCTCGCCGCTGCGGATTGGGATCGCCCACTCAGGGCTCACCCACTGTGCTGCTGTGGACCTGGCCAGGGCACAGGGGCATCGGGGGGGTCTATGGGTGCCACAGAAGGGCCCCATGGGGGCTCCTTACCCACCCAACCCCCTCAGGTCACCATCCTGGAGGCAGATAACAGGATCGGTGGTCGCATCTTCACCTTCCGGGACCGGAAGACAGGCTGGATTGGGGAGCTGGGAGCTATGCGCATGCCCAGCTCTCACAGGTGACTCCCACTGCCCTGAGCCCACCCTAGAGCACATGGTGCATGGTCCATGGTTCCAGATCCAGCTTCCAGCTCATCCCCAACCAGTCCCAGTCCCTTGGCCGCTCTGGCTTCAGCTCCACCCTGTGCCTCCCACAAAAGCCCCAGCTACTACCCCCAGCCAGCCCTCTGCGGGTCCTGGCCCCTGCAGGCCTCATGCCTACCTCCCTGTGGGCCCAGACACCTCGGGGTGCATGAGTCACTGGGTGTGGCCCTCCCCGACCCCATGCAGCCTAAACTCTATTCCTGTTCCCAGCTCCCGCCTCTCCCCAGTGAGAGCCAGTTTCCTCATCCTGGCCCCCACTCTGGCCTGTCTCCCAATCTCACCTGACCCTCACCAGGCCTTCCCTGCACCCAGCCCTGTCCCCCAGCACTACCTGACCCCCTAGCCTGGCCTCCACCCAGCCTCTCCCACCCCAGCCCTGTCCCTCAACACCACGCTGCTCCCCCAGCCTGGCCCTCACTGCCTCTACCATTCCTCAGGATCCTCCACGAGCTCTGTAAGAGCCTGGGCCTCAACCTGACCAAATTTACCCAGTACGACGAGAACACGTGGACAGAGGTGAGCGAGGTGAAACTGCGCAACTACGTTGTGGAGAAGATGCCTGAGAAGCTGGGCTACAACCTGCGGCCCCGGGAGCGGGGGCGCGCGCCCGAGGAGATCTACCAGATGGCCCTCAACAAGGTGGGCGTCCCACGGCCCCCAAGCTCTGGCCCTGTCTCCTGATACCCCCAGCCCCGGGTGAGCAGCCAGGATCCCTGGCCATTCCCTGGGCCTGTTTGCCCCTCTCTGCCCAGCCTAGGCCTTGGGCTCTGTGCCCACCCTCACCCAGCCCCTTCCCCAGCTCCCAGCACCTTCAGGGCAGCCTGCTGCTGCTGCTGCAGCCCTGAGGGTCACACTGCACCCCCTCCCCAGCCTCACCTGCTTCTCTCACTGAAATACATGTGTCACCCCACAGTCCTTCCCACCCAGCCCTGGGGAACAGCGCCCCCTCCAGGGGGGCCTGGCACCCACCAGTGCAGGGAGTCTGGGGAGGAAGCCAGCAGGGGCTGGGGTGCGCAGGGCAGGGCTCCTGGAGCAGGGTGGAACCGCGCACACGTATGCCAGGCACACGTGTGAAGGTGGGGGGACAAGGATGGCCAGGCAGCACCAGGAAACCAGACGGTTCTAGCACTTTTGGGAGACTTCCTGGATGAAGGGAGAGGGCTATGGGGCACGGCAAAGCCCGGAAGTGGGTCTAGAGGGAGAGAGGTGCTCGCGGCACACTGGGCAGCGCTCGGCGCCCTCTGCTCGCTCTGCCACAGGCCCTCAAAGATCTCAAGGAGCTGGGCTGCAAGAAGGCCATGAGAAAGTTCGAGAAGAGCACGCTCCTGGTGAGTGGCCCGAGGCAGAGGGGCCCCACCCATGCCAGCACCTCCCTGCCACGGCCTCCCCAGACACGGCTGTCCTTCTATCACAAGAGGCGGGAAAGCCGGGCAGGAGAGGCCCCCCGGGCACCGCCGGGCACCGCCGGGCCCTGGGGCGCTGACGTGTGTGCTGCCCGCAGGAGTACCTGCTCGAGGAGGGCAACCTGAGCCAGCCGGCCGCGCGGCTCCTGGGCGACGTGCTGTCCAAGGACGGCTTCTTCTACCTCAGCTTCGCCGAGGCCCTGCGCGCCCACAGCTGCCTCAGCGACCGGCTCCGGTGAGGCGCGGGGCCGAGGGCACCGGGGGCCGGGAGGCGGCCACGCCCGCCGGGGCATCTGGGGAGGGGTCTCCTGGAGGAACCGGGAGAAGCCCCTACTCAGCGGGCAAGGCGGGGCCTGGCAGAGGGGACGGCAGGCGGGCAGATGGATGCAAAGGAGGCGCGTGCGGGGCAGGCGTGCGGGGCGAGGTGACCGGCGCGGGGCGCCCAGTGCCTGACGGACGCCCCGGCCCGCCCGCCCACAGGTACAGCCGCATCGTGGGCGGCTGGGACCTGCTGCCGCGCGCGCTGCTCAGCTCGCTCTCCGGCCCGGTGCTGCTGAACGCGCCCGTGGTGGGCATGACCCAGGGCCTGCACGACGTGCGCGTGCACATCGCCACCTCGCGCCGGGCGCGCAACCTCAAGGCCTTGACGGCCGACGTGGTGCTGGTGACGGCCAGCGGCCCGGCCCTGCAGCGCATCGCCTTCACGCCGCCGCTGTCACGCAAGCGGCAGGAAGCGCTGCGCGGGCTGCACTACGTGCCGGCCACCAAAGTGTTCCTGAGCTTCCGCCGGCCCTTCTGGCACGACGAGCACATCGAGGGAGGCCACTCCAACACCGACCGCCCCTCGCGCGTCATCTACTACCCGCCGCCGGGCGAGGGCGCGCTGCTGCTGGCCTCGTACACGTGGTCGGACGCCGCGGCCCCGTTCGCCGGCCTGAGCCTGCAGCAGGCGCTGCGCTTGGCCCTCGACGACGTGGCCGCACTGCACGGGCCGCTCGTGTACCGGCTGTGGGACGGCAGCGGGATGATCAAGCGCTGGGCGGAGGACCCGCACAGCCAGGGCGGCTTCGTGGTGCAGCCACCGCTGCTCTGGCAAGCCGACCTGGAGAGCGGGCCGGAGTACGACTGGGCGGTTCCCTATGGCCGCATCTACTTCGCCGGCGAGCACACAGCGCTCCCGCACGGCTGGGTGGAGACAGCCGTCAAGTCGGCGCTGCGGGCAGCTATGAGGATCAACAACCGAGAAAAGCACGTGCAACCCATAGCCAGCTCGGAGGAGCCGAAGCCTCTGCACACCGGGGCCGCGGCCGGGCTGGAGGAGCAAGGCCATGCAGCCGTGGATACCAGCCCAGACGAGCAGGGCCACACGCCAGCCGAGGCCACCCCAGAAGAGCCGCCGCACGCACATACGGAGGCCAGCACGGACGAGCAGGGCCACGAGCAGGGCCACGGCCACGCAGACACCACGCCCGAGGAGCAGGTGCACTCGCAAGCAGAGGCCAACCCGGAGAGCCCAGCACACCTGCTCTCCGATACCAACCTGGAGGGGCAGAGCCACGCGCTCCCAGAGACCAGTGTGGAGGGGCAGAACCACCTGCTCCCCAGCACAGGCTCCGAGGGGCAAAGCCATTCCTTCCCAGAGGCCAGCACGGAGGGGCAGGGCCATTCGGTCACCGAGGCCAGCCCAGAGGGCCAGGGGAATGAGATCCAGGAGACAAATTCCGAGCCCGTGGCAGAGGTGCCCATGCAGATGTACCCGGCCAGCAGCCCCCCGTGCAAAGGGTCCAAGGGAGGGGCCACGCCATCCTCATCCCAACACATACTATCTCCCCAGCACACTACGCACAAGAAGGCTTCACATTAAAGTATTTTTTGGAGAAGGCCGTGCGGCGTCTGCTCTGTTTCAGGCGTGGCTGCTCGCCTGGATAAGCAGTTCAGGCCTAGTTAGGAGGGACTGCACCCCAGGGCAGTCGCCCCCTTCCCCCAGGGGGGTGAGGAAAAGGCCCCAGCCTAGCCCAGCATCACAGTGACCACCCCGGCTGTCAGGAGGCCAAGGTATGACTGAGTCCCCACTGGAGCCACAGAAGAGCAACCAACAGTGGTTAAATAAGGCCAGTTTATTCGGTTACAGAAGCAGCAGCTGCAGGCAGGGTGCCAGCACCAGGGCACGGCACCCTGCACATGCACCCACACCTGCTAGTGAGAGGGTACCATGGGGTCCAAGGGTCCTGGGCACCCACACCTGTTAGGGTGTACCACGGGACCCCTGACACCCACACCTGTTAGTGAGGGTGTACCACCTGGCAGTAAAGGTCTACCACAGGGTCCTAGGCACCCACACCTTTTTTTTTTCACACCTCTTAATGAAGGTGTACAACGGGGTCCAGGGCACCCACATCTGCTAGTGAAGGACCTCCCCTGGCGGCCCACTGGCCGGGCCAGGGTCATGTGGTCAGCTTTGGTTCAGTTTCCCCTGTTCCGCCCCAGCTGGTTCCGGGCCCAGCATCTGGCCTGCTGAGCCTGGCAGGTATCAGGTGGATGACGCCGCAGGACCCAGGTAGCGCCGATGGGATAAAGTGCTTGTGCAGGGCCAGAAGTTGGCCTAGCAGGCTGAGGAGCCCGCTGCGTCCTCGTCGTCCTCAGGCAGAATCTCCAGGCTGCTGTCAGGCTGCGGGGATGGGTCCACGGGAGGTGGCGGCTGCGGCGGGGCAGGTGGGGCCCGCATGGGCGACAGCGGCAGCGGGCAGGCGGAGGGCGAGGGGCTGCGTGGCTCCGCGGGCGGTGCCATGCCCAGCACCTCCTGGACGTTGTGGGGCAGCTCCCTGCAGGCCGTCAGCTGCCGGTAGAGGCTCTCAGCCCGCGTCAGCACGTCCTCGACGCTCAGCTTCATGGTCAGCTCATTGATGTGCTGTGGGAAGGGGCGGGTAAGGCCTGCTGGGGCCAGACACCCCACTGGGAACGCGACATGGGTGCAGGGCCCACGGGGAGGGGCAGGGCCAGCAGGGAGGGGCTTCCCTCACCTTGAGGATCTCATTGGAGCCGAACCCGGAGAGCGTGAGGGTGTCCCGCTCCATGTCCAGGATGGCACAGGCCACCAGCAGGTGGAGGTTGGGGCCAGGAAGCCCTGTCCACAGTACCTGGGGGTGCATGACAAGAGGGGTGGCTGTGGGCTGCCTCTGTAGGAGTGTCCCCTGTGGCCAGTCCTGCTCCTGTCCCCGCCCCCTGCCTACCTCCCACAGCCGAAGGACATCCGGGAAGGGGAATTCACGCTTGAACCAGATGAGCAGCCACCGGAAGCAGAAGCAGAGAGAGCCGGAGTCCTGCGAGTCTGCGGGAGGACAGGGCGCCCGCTCAGCCTGCCCGCCCAGCCCTCTTGCAGGTGGGTGCACCCGAGGTGGCGCAGGTGCACAGTGGAGAAACAAAGAGCCACCCACATCACGCCTGTGGTCATGACGACACCCAAAGACACGTGGGCGCAGGCCAGTCGGCACAGGTGTCCAGCTGGCCGCCATGCAGCCAGCCAGGTTCTGGATCAGCCTGAGGGACCACGAGGGGCGGCCCGCACCACCTGCCCCTGGAATGCAGCGGCCCTGAGGCCCTGAGGCAGCGGTGGACGGGGTCGCAGTGAGCAGAGCCTCCCCAGGGCCTTCGTTCAGAAGGGGACCAGCACCCCTGCCACACACGCACCCAGGAAGTCACAGAGCGGCGGGTCCAGCACCCTCAGGAGCAGCAGGAGTTGCCCGAGTTGCCGCTTCATGGTCTCCTGACTCTCTTCGAAGTTCCCCTGCTGTGGGGCAGGGAGGTGGGCGTGAGGGCCGGAACCCCGTGCCTGGCAGGGGAGCGGCCGGGCTCCCCACTTCACCCCAGCTTACCACCAGCTCCATGAAGCCACAGAAACACCAGAAGGCATCCACCTCATTCTGCACCACATAGAGGATCGGGGAGAGGAGGTCGCTCATGCCCTGGACGTAGCCTGCGGGGTCAGGGCCAGGGGTCAGGGTCGGGGGTCAGGGGCCAGCCGGGGTGCTGGACAGGCATCCCCTGGGGCCAGCCGCCTGGGCCGCCCATGCCACCCGCCTGCCCGGCGCACCCAGGTCGAAGTGGTACATGCAGTAGGTGAGCAGGATGTCGTTGAGCAGGCCCAGCCCCGGGTTCTCGGGACCCTCGTAGAATTTGTTGGTTCTGTCGGTGCGACTCACATCTCTCTCTGAGAAGATGGGGACGGGGTGCGAGGCGGACGGTGAGGCTGAGGGCTCCCGTGCCTCCCTGCCTCCCGCACCGGGAGGGGAAGCCACCTGAGCCCTGCACGTGTGCCTCGCCAGCCCCGCCTCAGCTCCCAGGTGGCCCAGGCCTGGTACTGTCCTCTGACCCACCGATGAGGCTGCGGTAGCCGTGCAGCAGCGAGTTCCGGCGCTCCTGCTCGGGGCTCACCGACTTCCACTGCAGCTTCATGCGGAAATACTCGTCCCTGAGGGGTGGCCGAGAGGGTGGGCACCTGAGGGTGAGCCGCTCCCCACCCCGACCCACGCCCACCGTGGGGTTTCCCGCTCACGTCTTCTGGCGCACACGGGCCTTGTGCTCCTCGGCTGAGCCCTCCCAGCTGAAGTAGCCCAGGAGAAACTTCCAGGCATCACGCCGCACGCCGGGACTCAGACCCTGGAGCAAAGGGAGGCGACTTGGAGGAGCGCCCCCTGCTGGCGGCACCCCACCCCTGCCCTGGCTGCCTCCCCGAGTCCTCACATGGCACTCACCCCAGAAAAGATGCGCTGCTTCAGCTCAGGCACCTGCTGCAGGCGGCCTTCAGGACCCACATGGCGGGCCCACTCCTCCTCGGTGACCGGCAGGGCCCGCTCCACGGCCGGCCGCGGCCCCAATTCTACCTGCAGGACGCAGGGCAAGGAAGACCCGGGCTGGCCCCAGTCCTGCCCTGTGTCCTCCCACTAGTGACCCAGTACTCCCGTGCAGGGTCTGGGAAGCTCACACAGGAGATGACCTCGAAGCCGGGCTCAGGCTCATCCTCAGGGGGCAGGGGCAGGTCTGGCGAGGAGGCCCCCTCGGGGTGTGGCTGCAGGGCACCCCGGAAGAAGTTGGTCACTCGGGAGAAACTGCTGAAGGTGGTCGAGTAGGGGTCCTGGAAGAAGCGCTGGGGGCGGGGCCAGAGGAAGTCACCGTGGTGCGGGTGTCCCCGGCCCTGACCCCGCACCTGCCAGCACAGTGCAGCAGACACTCACGGACACCACGCTGGAGTTGTCCTGATCGAAGAGCTGCAGGTGGTGGAAAGAGCTGGAGAGGGCTGAGGAGTCGTGCGGGAAGACCAGGTAAAGGCGGGAGTCCTGCGGGGAGCTGGGCACAGAGGGGACACCGCCCGGTGACACACAGGGACGGGAGCAGCACCTGAGGCCGCTCCTCATCACCCAAGACCCTCCACAGCCTCCACCAGGGATACTGGGGCCCCCCATAGAGGTCAAGGAGGGCTGCCCGGCCCAGCCGTGCCCTGTGCAGCCAGCATCCCGCCATCCCTGTCTGGCCAGCGGGGCAGTCCTCTCCCGGCCTGGCTGGCGCTCACCTGGCCAAGAGCAGGTAGCGGTTGAGGACGCGGAGCAGGGCACGGGTGCCCCCACGGTGGAAGTGCAGGGCAGGCAGGGAGCCCCCGGCCTGCGTCACCAGCACCAGGTAGGCCCAGCTGAGGCCCGGCTTGGAACGACGGATGGACTTGAGCTCCCCCAGGCTGACGGAGAAGGCCCAGGAGCCCAGAGTGGAGCCGGGCTCTGTCCCTAGGGGACAGCACTGCATTGGTGCAGGTCTGCAGGGCGGAAGGGTCCCTGGCCCCTGCCTCCTCACTCCAGGCCACCTCCCCTGCCCCCTGCCTGCCGAACAGAACTGAGTGAAGCAGGCGCGGGGCCCAGCGGCCAGGGTCTGTTCTGGAATCTTCCCAGGCTCCCTCTGAGGCTCGAAGTCCACCGGCCTTGTCAGCCAGGGGCCGGCACAGGCCTGTCCTGCAACCCGCCCTGCTGGCCCCAGGACCACCAGCTCGGCCTACCTCTCAGGGGCTCTGAAGGACGGGGTCGTGGCCGCACCGTGCTAATGACGGCCCAGTCGGGTTCATAGCCAGGGTCGAAGGTCGGCTCCTCCTCCGAGGTGCAGGAATCACCCCCACTGGTGTCCTGGGGGAGAGGAGGAGACCCCGAGTCACAGTGTCTAGAGCCAGCAGGCAGCCCCGCAGGGCTGAGAGGGACGGGCACTGGCTGCCCACGGGGTCTCTTTCTGGGAGGGCAGAGTGTCCTGGTGTTGGCGGTGGTGGCGGCAGAGGAACGAACCCTCTTGGAGCAAGCCGAATGGGTCACCACCAAGCTCCCTGAATCTTCATGGCAGGTGGGCTCCCAGAGGGGCGGAGCCCGGAAATGGGGTGCAGGACGGCCAACATGGGGCAGGAGCCCGCCAGGTGACCCACCTTCTTGGAGAAGAGGATCTGGGTGCAATCTCCGGCCTCCTCCACAGGAGCCCAGTGCAGGAACACGTCGTTGTCCTGAGGAAGGGGAGCGGTCAGAGGGGGCTCCCCGCCAGGCCCCTCCCCGGGGCCGCCCCGCGAGTCACCTTCTCCACCACCCGGATGACGCCTGCGATGAGCGAGTCCGGGTCCTGGTGCTTCTTGGCGCTGGTGTGCAGGTACACGCCTCCCTTCTCGAACACCACCTGTGGGGGCGTGGCCGGTGAGGGGCGGGGCGAGGTGGGCGGTCCGGGCGAGGGGCGGGGCCAAGGCGGGGTCCGCCCACAACCAGGAGGGGACAGGGCAGGGATGACCAGGCGTTTACGGGGCGACGGCGTCGCCTCAGGTCCGGCGGCTGTCCGCGGCTGCCCGGCGCGTCCCGAGCGCGAGCAGGCCACCGCGCAGGGTCGCTTGGCACACAGAAGCCAAGGAGCGTGTTCTCCGGGCTTACCCTGTAGCCGGATGCCTCCATAGCCGCCGTCTAGACCCCCGTCCCGGCCTCCTCCTTTTCCGGGTACGCGTGTTGTCACATCCGGAAAGGACACTGTCCACCCCTCCTCCAGCAGCGGTTGGTAGCGCCCTTACTCAGTCTAGAGCAGGAGTGGGTGAGACCATCTTTACGAAACAGATTGGCTGGGCCGTCAGGTTGTCTAATTCCAAAGCAGAGTGTGCGCAGACGCAGTGTCATTGCGCTCACCACGAAGTAAACAAGTAGGCGGGCCCAGGAGTTCCGCCCCGGCTCTTCCGGAAGTCGCCCACTTCCTCCTTCGCTCTCTGTCCTGGCATCGAAGCCAGAGGGCCGCCATTTTGCTCGAGGGCAAGGCTGTCCCAGACTGGCTCCGAGGCCATGTTCATGCGGGGCAGTCCCAGCTCTCTGCGGGGAGAGCTGGCGAGGTGCTGGAAAAGGGGACCGGAGAAAGGAGAGGAAGGTGAGAGGAGCCGTGCAGCGCGCAAGACCCGAGGGACTCGGGAGAGCGGGGCGAAGGAACGAAGCCGTCGCAGGCCAATTCCTGAGTCACCCTCGAAAACGGGCTCACCGCCATTTTGGAGCTGGGCAAAGCCAAGCACGGGAAATGCTGCCGTGTTGGATCGTTGCCAGCTTTGGCTGGGAGGGGGTGCAGAAGGGAGGGGGAGCGCATAGATCATACGAGCAAGTGAAATCAGGCTGATTGCCACGTCGTGAACGGGCACTTTTGTAGAACAAAGACGAGGAACGTCATGTGGTCTGCTTTAAGTTGTGATCACGTGTTAACGCGTGTGAGTGGCCATATTTTTTGAGGGCAAATCAAAATAGCCTAGGTTAGTGACTGGCAAGCTAAGCTGTTTCCACCATCTTCCTTATGGGCTCAATACCGCTGGCCTTCGCGCCACGGGTCGGCCTGGAAGTGCTGTTGTGGCCATTTTAGTCTCGGGTTGGGGGCGGGCGGGGGCAGCCGCAGGGAAGTGACGCAAGGCCGCCGCCATGCCATTTGAGGGCGGCGCCGGTGCCGCCGTGGCCATGCTGGCTTCGGGCACGTGAGTGGCGGCGGCTTTGTGGCCCGCGCTGTCGGGGAGGATCTGGCCATCCTGAGGCGGAGGGGCAGCGGGAGGAAGGCGCCCGGCTCGCGCGGCAGGGGTATGGCCTGCCTGGGTCAGCGGGCAGGGGTGGCCGGGCGACACTGGCAAGCGCCGGGACGGGGGCGCCCGCGGGGCCCGCTGTGTGAGACTCGGGGCAGTTCCTACAGCTTCATTTTCTGGCGTTGGGGCCGCGGGGAGCCTGGCCGTGCGCTGACCGCTGACCGCTGACCGCGGGGCTGAGAGGCGTGCTCAGTGCTCCTGGCGTTCCGAGGCGGGACTTCCGGGGCGGGACTTCCTGTTTTCTTCCTGGGAAAGCGGGTCCTGCCAGGGTCCCCGGGTGTTTGGGTTTGGGGTTCACGGAGCGCCCCGACGTCCACCCTGCCGCACGCGGCTGCGGCCTGTGCGAGAGGAACGGGCCACTTTGACAGGTGCGGGTGCTCGTCCTCCACCGCCGTGTCCCCAGGGCAGCCGGGCTGGAAAGCTCTCGCTGTCGGGGCCCCTCGCCCCCGTTGGTGTTGTTGGGAGCCCTGGCCCAGCGCGTGTCCTCCATCACTCGGGCACCTCCCGCCTCTGCCAGGCGCCCTCCAGCACCTCACTGCTCACTCCAGGATGAGCAGCTCCCGGGTTGGGGATCACACGGCCCGCAGGATCCGGAGGGACATGGGGTCCCCATTGCGTGGTGCTGGGCAGTCTGGAGGTGACAGGCCCCAGCACCTCGGCTGCGCAGCCTGGGGAGGGAGGACACGGAAGAAGCAGGGTCAACTCCCGGGTCTCCGTGGAGCTGTGACGCCCCCAGTGCAGGCCGGGGCCTGGGTGGCCGTGGTGCAGCTGGCTCATGTCAGGCCCAGGGCCTAGGTGGCCATGGTGCTGCTGGCTCGCGTGCAGGCTGGGGCCTGGGTGACCGTGGTGCAGCTGGCTCACGTGCAGGCCGGCCGGGGCCTGGGTGGCCGTGGTGCAGCTGGCTCGCGTGCAGGCCGGCCGGGGCCTTGGTGGCCATGGTGCAGCTGCCTTGCGTGCAGGCCGGGGCCTGGGTGGCCGTGGTGCAGCTGGCTCATGTCAGGCCCGGGGCCTAGGTGGCCATGGTGCAGCTGGCTCGCGTGCAGGCCGGGGCCTGGGTGGTCCCGGTGCAGCTGCGTCACTTGCAGGCTGGGGCCTGGGTGCGGGTTGGGGCACCAGAGTTCCAGGCTTCAGCTCCCTGTGTCCTGTTCTGGCCCACAGGGTGCCGATGGCGTTGGGGCGCCCAGAGGAGCTGTGGGAGGCCGTGGTGGGGGCAGCCGAGCGCTTCCGGGCCCGCACTGGCACTGAGCTGGTACTGCTGACTGCTGCCCCACCACCACCGCCGCGCCCGGGGCCCTGCGCCTATGCTGCCCACGGCCGGGGCGCACTGGCCGAGGCTGCCCGCCGCTGCCTGCACGACATCGCTCTGGCCCACAGGGCTGCCGCCGCTGCCGCCCGCTCCCCCACGTCCCCACCAGCTCCGCAGCAGCGGCCGCCAAGCCCGCCCCCGCCCACCCCCGGCCCGCAGGACGCTGATGATGCAGACGAACAGACAGAAACCGAGAGCTCCAGGGAGCGGCTGGGTGTCAGCGACAGTGGAGGTGAGGGGTCGAGCCGGACTGCATGAGGCTCTGCGGTGTGGAGGCCATCGCGACAGTGGCCAATGTCCCTGCCAACCAGTGAGAGCCTGGCGCCTGCCCGGCGAGCTGTGGGGCCGGGGCTGGGGTCCAGGCCGCGGGGACCTCCCAACTCAGGCCCCAATGACGGCGTCTCGGCAGGGCTCTTCGTGATGGACGAGGACGCCACCCTGCAGGACCTGCTCCCGTTCTGTGAGTCGGACCCCGAGAGCACAGACGGTGAGTGGCTGGGCTGGCCTCTCCCCAGCAGGGCCGACTGGGGCCCCACGGCACAGGCTGAAGCCCACCCTCTCTCCCAGACGGCAGCCTGAGCGAAGAGGCCCCCGCTGGGCCCCCAGCCTCCTCAGCGCCTCCCGTCGCAGCCCTGCCCACCCAGCAGTATGCCAAGTCCCTGCCCGTGTCCGTGCCCGTGTGGGCCTTCAAGGAGAAGAGGACGGAGGCGCGGTCGTCAGACGAGGAGAACGGGCCGGTGAGGGGTGTGGGCAGAGGGGAGACTGAGGCAGGGGGCGGGCTGCCCTGTGTCCCCCGGCAGGCGCATGCTGCCTTCGCCCGCGCAGCTCTCCCCCACCCGCTTGGCCAGGGCCCGTGGCTGTGTCCTCCCTCCCTTCGCTTTTTCTTTAAGATTTATGTTTATTTGAAGTGAGAGTCAGAGAGAGAAGAGTTCTTCCATCAGCTGGCTTCCTTCCCACAAACGGCTGCAACAGCAGGGTTGGGCCGGAGCTGGTGCAGCCGCCCAGGCACTTGCGTCCTGCCCTGTCCTGTCCATGGGCTGCAGGTCCTTGGCCAGAGCTGGCCTTTCGTGCAGAGTGGGGACCGAGCCCAGAGGGGGAAGGAACAGGCAGAAGAAGGGGAGGACCCGGGGACGGACAGACAGGGGAGGCGGAGGACCCGGGGAGGACGGACAGGGCAGGGACAGGCCCTGGGGACAGACGGACAGGGCAGGGGGAGGCCCTGGGGACAGACTGACAGGGCAGGGACAGGCCCCGGGGACAGACGGACAGGGCAGGGGGAGGCCCCGGGGACGGACAGGGCAGGGACGGACGGACAGGGCAGGGACGGACGGACAGGGCAGGGACAGGCCCCGCAGACAGACGGACAGGGCAAGGGGAGGCCCCGGGGACGGACGGACAGGGCAGGGACGGACGGACAGGGCAGGGACAGGCCCCGGGGACAGACGGACAGCGGAAGGGGAGGACCCGGGGACAGACGGACAGCGGAAGGGCAGGCCCCGGGGACAGACGGACAGGGCAGGGACAGGCCCCGCGGACAGACGGACAGCGGAAGGGGAGGACCCGGGGACAGACGGACAGGGCAGGGGGAGGCCCCGGGACGGCCGGCCGGGCCCCGCGCTCAGCCCCCCGCCCTCCGCAGCCGTCCTCCCCGGACCTGGACCGCATCGCGGCCAGCATGCGCGCGCTCGTGCTGCGCGAGGCCGAGGACAGCCGGCTCTTCGGGGACCTGCCGCGGCCGCGCCTCAACACCAGCGACTTCCAGAAGCTCAAGCGGAAATACTGACGCCGGCAGCGCCACGCCTCCCGCAGCTGGCCAATCCCAGCCCCCGCCGGGCCCGCCCCTCCCGGCGATTGGATGGGTCGGCCCGGTCCCCTGCCGGGATTGGTCGACGCCGGGGGGCGTGGCCTGCCCGCCCCGCCCTGACACTACCGAGGCCCGGGCCGCTCCGGGCTCGCGGCCTCCGCCCCGCAGGTGCCTTACTGGGCCCCGTCCGCCCCGGTGGGGGACACGCCCCGCTCTCCGGCCCACTGGGCGAGAGACTCGGACATTAAAGAGTGGAATCCGGCCTGAGTCCGTGTGTGCGGCGACGGTGGGGGGTGTGTCTCGCCAAGTTCTCCGTGCTCCGCATCCTGCGGCTTTGTGCCGCGTCATTTCCGGCCGCCTGCCCTCATGTTGCGAGGGACGCCGGCGCCGTTGCCAAGGAAACTGCGAGGAGCGGGGCTTCCGGGTTTGAGGGCCCTCCCTAGAAGGGGCGGGACTTCCGGCGACGCTCGGGACAGCTCGGCGCGGAGCGATGGAGACCCGCGGCCGCCTGTGGCTGGAGAGCCCCGCCGGGGGCCCGGCGCCCATCCTGCTGCCCGCCGACGGCAGCGCCCTGGTCCTCGGCCGGGGCCCCCTGACGCAGGTGGCGGACCGAAAATGCTCCAGGAACCAAGGTGGGCGGAAGGGCAGGGCTGCGCCGGGCGGGCGGGCGGACGGGGCCGGCGCGCTCTGACCGCTCCCGCTGCCCGCAGTGGCGCTGACCGCCGACCCCGGGACGCGGACCGTGACGGTGAAGCAGGTACGGGCCCTGCCCGAGGCGGACGGAGCGGTTTCCACCGGGCGCCCTTCCTCGAAGGGCTGTCTGCCGCGCGCAGCCCTGATTGGCGGGCGTGCAGGGAGGGGGTGGGGCCTGGGCGCGTGGTTGGTGCAGAGCAAGAGCGCTGATTGGCGGGTGTTGGCGGTGGGGCGGAGCCAGCGCGTCTTCCCTGTCGCTGCAGCTGGGCGTTAACCCCTCCACCGCCGGCGCCCGGGAGCTGCGGCCGGGCCTGGAGGGCGTCCTGGCGGTCGGGGAGACGCTGTACCTGGTCAACGGGCTCCACCCGCTGACCCTGCGCTGGGAGGAGCCGTGCGCGGCCGCCCCGGAGCCCCGGCCCGCCACGCCCCCCGAGAGCTCCGGGGAGGCCCGGGACCCCGAGCCAGAGAAGAAGCGGCGGCGGAAATCCTCCCCGGGTTGGGAACACCTGGAGAAGCTGCTGGTGTTCACGGCAGCCGGTGTGCAGGCGCGGGCCAAGGTGAGGGTCGGGGGGGGGTGGGGGCAAGGTGAAGGACAGCAGGGCCAAGGTGAGGGTCAGCCGGGGACAAGGCGAGGGTCAGAGGAGCCAAGGCGAGGGTCGGGGGGAGGAAGGTGAGGGTCAGCGGGGGTCAAGGCGAGGGTCAGAGGGGGCAAGGTGAGGGTCAGAGGGGCCAAGGTGAGGGTCAGCCGGGGCCAAGGTGAGGGTCGGGGGGGGGTGGGGGCAAGGTGAAGGACAGCAGGGGCAAGGCGAGGGTCAGAGGGGCCAAGGTGAGGGTCGGGAGAGGCAAGGCGAGGGTCGGGGGAGGCAAGGTGAGGGACAGCAGGGGCAAGGCGAGGGTCAGAGGGGCCAAGGCGAGGGTCGGGGGGAGGAAGGTGAGGGTCAGCGGGGGTCAAGGCGAGGGTCAGAGGGGGCAAGGCGAGGGTCAGAGGGGGCAAGGTGAGGGTCAGCCGGGGGCAAGGCGAGGGTCGGGGGGGGCAAGGTGAGGGTCGGGGGAGGCAAGGTGAGGGTCAGCTGGGGGCAAGGTGAGGGTCGGGGGGGGGCAAGGTGAAGACGCTGCGGCCCTTGGTCCTGCTCCCCGGCCACAGCACTCACTGGGCTGCCCACCACACCAGGTAGCCAGCTTTGATCTGGACGGGACACTCATCACCACCCGTTCTGGGAAGGTCTTCCCCACGGGCCCTAGTGACTGGAGGTGAGGGCGAGGGCAGTGATGGGGACATGCCCGGGTCAGCCTCCATCCCTCGTCAGACCTGCCACGCCCACCCGCCCTAGGATCCTATACCCAGAGGTCCCCCGGAGGCTGCGGGAGCTGGAGGCTGATGGCTACAAGGTGGGTGTGCAAGTGTGTCCACGTATCTGTCTGCACGCGCATGGGCCAACCACGCCTGCCCTGGCCTGACACCCCCTTGTCCGCAGCTGGTGATCTTCACCAACCAGATGGGCATCGGGCGCGGGAAGCTGCCAGCAGAGGAGTTCAAGGCCAAGGTGGAAGCTGTGCTGGAGAAGCTGGGGGTGCCCTTCCAGGTAGGGTCTGGGCCGTGGCAGGAGGCGGCAGCCCCAGTGTGGCCGGTGAATCCATCATCAAGCCCTGGCCAACCCTCCTTGCCCCCAGGTGCTGGTGGCCACACACGCGGGCTTGTACCGGAAGCCAGTGACAGGCATGTGGGACTTCCTGCAGGAGCAGGTGAGTGCCCATGGCTCCCCTGTCCTGGGGCACCCAGGCGCCCTGTACAGGCAGGCCCAGGGACTGGGGGGGTGGGGAAGGCTGTGGTGGGATAGGCCTCCCCCTGCCTCTTTTCCAGGCCAACGAGGGCGTGCCCATTTCCAAGGAGGACAGCATCTTCGTGGGAGGTAGGGCCCAGGGTGCTGGAGGGCAGAGACCCCAGCCAGGAGCCACCAGGTATACAGCAAGTGTCTTTGGTTGCAGACGCAGCTGGGCGCCCAGTCAGCTGGGCCCCGGGCCGGAAGAAGGACTTCTCCTGTGCCGACCGCCTGGTAAGGCCCTGGCACCTGCCCGCTGCGTCGCGGACCCCTGCCAGCCCAAGCTAACCTCTCCTTCCCACCAGTTTGCTCTCAACCTGGGCTTGCCCTTCGCCACGCCCGAGGAGTTTTTTCTCAAGTGGCCAGTGGCCAGCTTCCAGCTCCCGGCCTTCGACCCAGTGAGTTGGGGCAGCGATGGGGGAGCTGGTGGAGTTGGGCTAGGGGCTCGTCTTCCACCCCACCTCCCAGAGGACTGTGTCACCCTCAGGGCCACTCTGCCAACCCGAGCCCAGCGCCCTCCTGAGCTCCAGCCCCGAGGTGGTGGTTGCTGTGGGGTTCCCTGGAGGTGAGAGGCCCTGAACCCTGGGTGTCCCTTGTCCCCTTGCGAGGGGCTTCCACTGAAACCACCTCGCCCCACAGCCGGGAAGTCCACCTTCCTTATGGAGCACCTTGTATCTGCCGGCTACATCCACGTCAACAGGGTAGGCCGGGGCCTGCACCCCTGCCCCGCCTGTTCCCCTGCCCCGACCCCAGTGCTCCCCCTGACCCTGGTGCCCCCCCAGGACACACTGGGCTCCTGGCAGCGCTGTGTGAGCGCCTGCGCAGCCGCACTGAAGCAGGGAAAGCGAGTTGTGATTGACAACACGAACCCCGACGCCGCCAGCCGGGCCAGGTACTCGTGGGGCGAATGCTGGGGCTGGAGTCGGGGGGCAGCTGCACACTGACCCCCGCCCACGCAGGTACCTGCAGTGTGCCCGGGACGCAGGCGTGCCCTGCCGCTGCTTCCTCTTCACGGCCACGCTGGAGCACGCACGCCACAACAACCGGGTGAGCAAGGGAGCCCCGTCCACTCCCACCACCCCCACCCCGGCCCTGGCCGCCTGACTCGCGCCGGCCCCTTGTCCCCGTAGTTCCGTGAGATGACCGGCTCCTCTCACGCCCCCGTGTCGGACATGGTCATGTTCAGCTACAGGTATGGTGTCACGGGTGGGGGCCTGGGGGACGGGTGGGCACTGAACCGCCCCCTCACCACTGCCCGGCTGCAGGAAGCAGTTCGAGGAGCCGAAGCCAGACGAGGGCTTCACCGCCATCCTGCAGATTCCCTTCCGGCTGCAGCTGGAGCCACAGCTCGAGCGCCTGTACCGCCAGTTCTCGGAGGGCTGAGCCCACCAGGGGTTCCCCCCCCCAATAAATGTGCTTGCTCCATATGCCTGGCCCCTGGCCTGTGTCTTCCTCAGGTGGGGTGGGGTGGAGGAGCAGCCCTCCCGCAGCCTACAGGCAGCCTACCCAGGCAGGCGAGGCCCTGTAGAAGCCCCAGGCCTCCAGGACAGTTCCAGGTAAGCCAGGAGAGTCTGGGACTCTGGTCCCTGGGTGCCAAACCTGGCCGTGCCCACACTGCCATCATCTCCCCCAGAGCAGATGAGGCCTGGGCAGAATGACCTGGACACTGGCCTGCGCAGTGACCAAGGCCACAGGTATGGCTGTTCAAGGCTTTATTTGAGACACACACAGGGTGGGGGGCGTCCCGGAAGGCAGGACACCATCCTCGCGCTGGGCAGTGCCATCACTGGGCCCCGCTCAGAAGCAACTGACCTGGAGGCAGGGGCACAGAGGGAGGGGCTGGGGGTGCAGGGGTGGCACCTGCACCCCCAGTCCCTTGCAGCTCCCTCCCCTATACCCCACAGAGCCCTCACTCACCAGTCTCTGCCGGGGCCTCGTCTGTGACTCCTGGAGGGGGCCCTCCTGGCAGGTGGTCTCTACCCCCCCATCTGGGGGAGAAGGGGAGATGAGCCTCGACAGGCACAGCGTGTCCTGGTCCCCGTTCCCCACCCTGTCTGCTCCCCGGCCTCACCCCACGCTGCTGCTGCTCCTGCTCCAGGTTGCGCTGCAGCACCTGCTGCTGGTTGGCAATGACACGCCGGAGGCCGTTGACAAAGCTGCCCTGGTCGTGCGGGATGAGGCCGATGAAGATCTTCTTCTCCGAGGAGTAGAGCAGCATGAGCACACGCACCTCGCACGAGGCCTTGTAGGAAAAGTGCACGCAGCCCGCCTGCGGGGCGCAGCCTGTCACCGTGTGGCCTGGCTCCAGTCAGCTTGGCACCCATGCGGGGAGAGGCCAGGGCTTGGGGGGCTGAGGACTGCAGGGAAGAGACCCCTGGGGGCAGTGACTGTTGAGCCTGGGAGACCACAGCTGTGAGGCATCGGGCACTGCCGAGTGTGGGTGTCATGCCCCATTCCACGGGTTCCCAGCCCTCGGGAACAACCCACAGGACCCCCGGGCGGGAGGGGACCCTGGGCGATCACTCACAAAGCCGTTGTCCATGACCCGACAGAGGCTCTTGAGCGTCTCCAGGTCCTTGGTGAAGTGGAACTGCACCAGGCGCGAGTTCCGGAAGAGCGGCACCAGGGTGGTCTGGGGGGGCCAGGGTGCACCTCAGCCCCGGAGCTCGGCTGGTCCTGGGGGGCTCCGGGCCACGGCCACCCGCACATTCCCTGACGGGAGCAACCCCACCCGCCCTGCTGCCACCTGCTCACCAGCAGCTGCTGCGGGATGAGCCGCATGTGCAGCCTCCTGGGCCACTGCTCGGTCCTCCTGCGGAGCCAGGACTGCGTCAGCAGGCGCCGTGCCCGCCCTGTCCCGCCCCCCGCCGCCACTCACAGGATCTCGCCCTGGTTCACATAGATGTGCGTGGGCAGCCACCGCCTGGACCGACTGTTGGGCTCCGGCCTGGGCTTTGGGGAGGGAAAGGCAGAGAGCAGACCTCAGGGCTGGGCCAGGCCTGGTCAGCATCGCGGGGTGACCTGGTCCCTGGGCCGCACCGGGCTCACCTCCTGCCACTCCATGATTCCACTCCAGGCCAGAAATTTGTTGTTGACGATCTGGACAGGCCCTGCGACGCCCCCTGGGCCCACCACCTGTGGGGAGGGGCAGCTTGGGCCACACACAGACACTCCCAGGCCACAAGTCCTGCCCCTTCACTGAGCCTGCGCGTGCGCACTCACACTGTGTCTAACAGGAGCCGGGCCACCCCTGCTCAGGCACTGCCAGGCTGACCCCCGTGCAGTGTGACCCCATCAAGCCTTGCCCCAGTCCCCGCAACAGGACCCACTTGCTTGCGCGTGGTGATGACCTGCCGGATGGCGTTGACGAAGCCGCTCTGGTCGTAGGGGATGAGGCCCATGAAGATCTTCTTCTTGGACGAGTAGAGCAGCATGAGCACACGCACCTCGCACGGGGAGATGTGGGGGAACAGCATGCAGCCCGCCTGCGGGGCAGTGCAGTCAGGGACTCCGTCCGCCGGGGGAGGCTGCAGCCCTGGGGCGGGGGGGCCTGGTGACACCTCCCCTCGCTGCCGGCAAGCTGCCCCTTCAGGACTCCTGTGCCCCTTCTGTAACATGGTGACAGCTTGTACGCATTAAGCACTGCATAAATGCTCAAATCCTGGGGTGCTGGCAGCTCTTCGGTGGGCCTCAGGAACCAACAGGGCACATGGCATACCCAACGCGCTTGCCCCATCCACCCTGCCTCAACCCCGGGAGCACAGATTTGCTGTCTGGTGAGGGGCAACCACCCACTGGGCACAGAGGATGCCAGGGGCTACAGCACAGAGCGGCCCTGGAGGCGGCCACAAGAGCTGGAGGACAAAAGCGGCAGCGGGCACACAGCATCCAAAGCCCCTGCCAGCCAAGCTTACATGCACTGCCAGCGACCCCAGATGCCAGTGGGGGATACTGCCCTCCCAACTCGCCCAAGGGGAACCGCTGCCCAAGCCCCTCCGGGAGCCCCCGGCACTCACAAAGCCGTTGCCCATGATGCGGCAGAGCCCTTTGAGCGAGTCGCAGTCTCGGTTGGTGAAGTGGAACTGTGCTAGCTGCGAGTTGCGGAACAGGGGTCCCAGTGTGGTCTGAGGGCAACAAGGGGGCCGCTCAGTGACCGCCGGGGGTGGGGGCAAGGAGGGCCCGGCAGGGCCGTGGGGCCGGCAGGGCTGTGGGGCCGGCAGGGCTGTGAGGCTCACCAGTAGCTGCTGTGGGATGAGCTGCATGATGAGCTTCTGCGGCCACTGGTCCGTCTCCCTGTGGGAAGAGGGGTCAGCAGGGCCAGGTGCACCCACCCAACCCGCACCCAACTCCCCCACACACTCACAGGTTCTCCCCCCGGTTCACGTAGGCCTGGCAGGGTAGAGTTCGTTTCAGCTTGGCCGTGGAGTCAGAGAAGGGTCTGCGCTTCTGTGGGCAGAGGAGCGTCACGGAGGCCAGGTACCCCGACCTGCCTCCCATTCCCAAACGGCACAGCCCCTCACCTCCTGCCACTCGAGGACCCCACTCCAGGCCAGCAGCTTGTTGCTCAGCCGGTGCTCGTTGACGGCCAGGCCCCCGAGGGTCAGCCCAGGGGAGGAGGGCCCGATGGGACCCAGCGCCCCGAACACCCGGGCGCCCTCCTGCAGAGGGAGAGGTGTGAGGTGAGGCCCAGGGGCTGTGTCCACCCCAGTGCACCCCGGGACCAATGGCGCCAGCAGCCAGGCGTAGGAGACATTCCTTCTGTGCCCTTCCTGCCGGCCGGGACCGACCCAGCACGCCACTGAGTGGCCACCACCTTGAGCCAGCTGGGGCAACAAGCGCATCAGCCAGGCCACTGCTCCCAGCTAACACCAGGGACACCCACGCTCAGAACGCTCGGAAGGTTTGCCTTCAAGAGAAAGTTCCGGTTCTCTGCTGCCTCCTTTCCTCCGCCACCAAGGGCTGGTGGAGCCAGTTGGGGGGCTGGGGCGGAGCTCACGGTCCAAGATGGGGGCTCAGTATCTAACCACGAGGAGGGGTGGCCAGAAGATGCCACCTCAGGGCTGGGCGCCCCAGGGTGGCCCAAAACCACAACCCCAGGGGGCTCTTTCCATCTGTGTCGGCCAGGTGTCCGGGTGGAGAACCGCACCGCACCCTGCCAGGGCAGGCAGCTCACCCGGAGGCGGGTAACCTGCCCCGGGGCTGCTGGAGCACAGCCACAGCTTAGGGTCACGCAGGTGACTACGCGTGACCAAAGACCCTCGTGGAAGACCACCAGGGAAGCAGCTTGCCTGGCTTGCTCGGATCTGGGGGAGGGAGCGCGCCGGCCCATCGGAGATGCCTGCCCAACGCCCGAGCACCCTGAGGTGGGGTCAGTACACCTCCAGGTGCGTGCAGGGACAGGGCACGCGCGCGCCCTGCAAGCCGAGGCGCACTTGCAGGACTTGGGGGAGCCCTGTTCCCATTCCCGAAAACTCCCTGCGTCCCGGGGAGCGGCCCCAGTGCAAGTGGCCGCTGCACGGGGCTGCGCGCCCGGCGCTCCCAGGCGCGGGAGGCCGGTGGGTTGCGCACGCCCCCACACCCTCAGGACAGCCTGGACACACGGGGCCACAGGCGGCCCCCTCTCCCATTTCCTCCTTTCCTGCCCAGGCAGAAACCAACTTTCCAACGGGAAAAACAAGCGCCGCCCGCCGCCCACCCCGCGTTCCGCACGGGCCGAGGAGTCAGCAGTAATTTGAGCCGGGACCCCACCCCCACACACCCCCACCCAGGGGTGAGCCTGCTCCCGGCCGGGGACCCCCACCCCTCCAGAGCGCGGACAAAGGCGGCGGAGCCCCGGGCGGCAGGGGCGCGGGGGCGGGGCTGTGGAAGGCTCTGGAAGAGCAGAGGGGCGCGGGGCTCACCATGGGAGGGGCCGAGCGGGCGCGGATCCTCGGCGGCTGCGGGCCCCGGGCGCTGGCGGGCCAGGAGCGCGAGCGGCCGGCGCGCACCACGAGCGGCCGAAGGGGCCGGCCGCGCCCCCCGAGGGGCCCCCCGGCGCCCGAGCGGTGCGGGGCGCGGCGCGGACGGACCATGTCGGGCGCTGCGGGGAGGGCCGGGGCGGGAGCGGAGCGGGGCGGGAGCGGAGCGGGAGCGGAGCGGGAGGGCCTGGACGGGGCGCGCACTGGACCCAGCGCGGGGAGCCGCGGCCCAACCACTGCGGCTGCGCGGGAGAGCCAGGCCGGGGGGCGTGGCCGGGGCCAACCACTGCAGACGGGGGGGGAGAGGGGGCGTGGCCGGGGCGACCCACTGCGGGCGGGAGCAAGAAACGCGACCACCACACAGGGAATTGGCGGGAGGCGTGGCCGGGGCGAACCACTGCGGGCTCCGGGGAGCGAGGGGGCGTGGCCGTGCCAGGAGCAAGGCGGGCCGGGAGGCGTGGCCGGAGCGAACCACCGCGGGGCAGGGGGGCGATGAACGCGGCGAGGGGCCGTACCAAATGCTAGTGCGGGGGGCGAGGGAGAGGTAGATGAATCCAAAGAAGGGCGAAACTAAAATGGCTTTGTGCTGGGTAGGAGTCGAGGACACCGGGAAACCCTCCCAGTCTGAAGAATCTACCAAAGGATCTCAGGAGGGGAGGAAGAATAACGGGCCTGGGCGGCGAGGGAGCCTATCAGAGCGGGCTGGGGGGCAGGCTGCACCATCTGCGAGGGGGAGCCCTGAAGGCTTTCCTTCCAAGGTGGTGACGCCACTTGACGGAAGACTACAACTCCCAGGAGGCCGCGGGTGACGCCCCGCCCCCTGCTCGCGGAAGGCGCGCGCCCATTGGCCCCACGTCCAGGCTCCGCCCCCACCTAGCCCCAAAGAGTTGATGGAGTAAGGGGCAGCAATCACAGCTCAGGTTCGGACCCTGTTCCCATGCGAGCGCTGCCTACAAAAGGATAACTCAGGAAGGATCCTGATGAGAAGCAGCAAACTACGGGGCTGCAGAAGGCGCTTTCCACAAGCAGGGACCTGGATGGGAAGATGGAAATGAGACCGCTGCGATTAGAACCAGCACCCATATGGGATCCCCATAGGTGCAAGTTGTCCACTAGGCTATGGCACTGGGCCCCAACGAATAAATATTTTTTAAAAATCTCTTGCTTGAATGAAAACTCCGAGAGATATTAAAAACTCCATGGGAAATGTATATTATGAAAATATATATATATACCTGGTTTAAACTTTCTTTTTTCATAAAAGTAAACATTAAAAATCCAACTATGGAGCCAGGCACGGTGGCCTAGCGGCTAAAGTTGTCACCTTGAACGTTCCGGATCTTATATGGGCTTCAGTTCTATTCCCAGAAGCCCCACTTCCCATCCAGCTCTCTGCCTGTGGCCTGGGAAAGCAGTGGAGGATGGCCCAAAGCCTTGGGACCCTGCACCTGCGTGGGAGACCTGGAGGAGGTTCCTGGCTTCAGACTGGTGCAGCACCAGCCATTGCAGTCACTTGGGGAGTGAATCATTGGATGGAAGATCTTCCTCTCTGTATATCTGACATTGCAATGAAAAATAATAAATTTTTAAATAAAATAAACCAAAGATCAGTCATTGCGGTTTGTGGGTGCAGCTCTTATCATCTGATGTTGCAGGCCGTCTTGAGATCTGGCCCGCAGCCCTGTTGTGCTCCGGGGGAGACGAGCAGAGACGTGTCAGAACTTGGAACGGCCTGACAGGACTCAGGATGTTCGCTGAAGCCATCTCCCGTGCCATTTGGCCCATGGGAGGGACACTTTCTGCGGCATCTGGACACCGAGCTGCCCAAGCCAGCCGTGCTCCCGTCGGTCACACTGTTCTCCATTAGCCCGGTGCAGAACTGGCGACCTGCTCGCCGCGGGAGCCAGGCTGCTTACCCTGGACAGTCAGGACAAGCTTGGCGTCCTAGGGGAGGCCCTTGCTGCTTTGCAGTCTTTAGTTCCTCAAGCCATATAAAGAAAGAAAATGAGCTGGCACTGAGCTGACAGGCCAGAGCCCAGCTGGGAGAGACTGTGGTCCTACCCAGAGGAGACACATGTTGCTAGTTAGCCAAATGGCTACATTTACAAACATGGTTATTAACTTTGGCTCTATCTCCAGCTCATCCAGCTCACATGGGCCAGTGCTGACCCCATTATGGTGAAGTGGGGGCATGTGACAAATTCTGACCAATGAGATAGCAGCAAACAGGCCAGAGCTCAGCCAGGTGCACTTTGGGGCTGGGGAGGGAACAGACCGGCCCAGGCATCAACTCTGTCGCTGGCAAAGAAGCAACTCCGTCAGTTGGCACATGAACCAAGCGAAGTTCTGAACAGCACCACGATAACTGGCTGTCACCCCGGAGGTTGCTGCAGAGGGTGGGGCTGGGGGACGCTGCCCCGTAACCCAGCCTCTGCCCAAGGCAAGGCCCGCTCGCCTTACCCACCCACTGCTGCGCCCACTGGCCCCGTCACAGGGTATGCGGCACACGCAAGTGAAATCAGGACATTCAGGGACACAGGCAGAGACAACGGGAACTTGGTCTGCTTTTTATCCTTTTTGCAAACACAGCTATCCTAGTAGGCAGGGTCTGTCTGACCCTTGTGCTTCACCAAGTAACTCCGGAAGACTGCCAGGACAGCCATGGCTCCTGCTGGTCACACCCCCAGCCCATATCCACCTAGGGTGGCCTTCACAGGGGGGACCCTGACACAGCACCTTGCGCACAGCCTCAGGCTGGGACCCTGCACCTTGGCTGCTTCCCGCTTCCTCAGCTGCCCCGCCCCCAGGCCCAGGGACCCACTTGACCTCCTGGGCCGCCAGTTGTGTAACCCAGGCCCCAGACACTAGTAAGCAATGAGCTGGAGCTGGGACAACTGTTGGTGGATGTATGCTTTACAGTTAAGATGGTAGCTGCAGGGGGTCCATGTGGTGGTGTAGTATGCTAATCTCCCCTGTGATGCTGTCATCCCATTTGGGTGAGAATTTGTGTCCCAGCTGCTTCACTTCCCATTCTGCTCCCTGCTTAGGATCTGAGAAAGCAATGGAGGATGGCTCAAGTCCTTAAGGACCCTGCAGCCATGTGGGAGACCCAGAGAAAGCTCCTGGTTCCTGACTTCAGATCAGCTCAGTTCCAGCTGTTGCAGCCACTTGGCGAGTGAATAAGTGGATGGAAGATCTTTCTGTCTCTCCTTTTCTTTGGAAATCTGATTTTCCGATAAAAACAAAGCTTAAAAAAGTGACAGCCACCGAAACCAGGAAGGAGTTAGGAGATGGCTGGCACTCCCACAGGTGGCTGCAGGGTGTGCCCCATGCCCTGGAGTCAACCCCGAGGGTTCAAGTCGGGAGTCTGGGACGCCATCCAGGTCTCCCATAGCTGAGGATCCTCCTTGGCTTTCCCAGGCACATCAGCAGGGAGTCGGTGGGAAGTAAAGCAGGCCAGGACTAGAACTGGAGCTTGTACTGGCATTGCAGACAATAGCTTATCATGCAATACCACAACGCTGGCCCCATCCCTCTTAAATAAATAAGGCTTTTAATAAAGGCAATCTCTTAATCCCATTAACCACAGACATTTTGAGATCCCTGGGACAACAGCAGGGTGTCTGCAACCGGGACACAGAGCCACCCACGAGGGACTGGCACAGACAGCTACTGCTGAAGTGGGAGAGCAGCCAAGTTCAATAACAGCCCTGGACCCAGTTCTGTGAACAAACAACACAGGAAGTGTGTGGCACCCACGAGCGGGTGGAAATGCAATGGAACGCCAGGCCAGCCTGCTGGCCTCTGTTGGGACAGTGGTTTGCTGGACACGGGTCAGGACAGTGGGTGGGAAAGGGGCTTCGCTATTGGGTCCCCAACACTGCAGGGCCGCCGCGGTCAGGGCTCATCAGGTGGGGGGCCTCAGCACTTGTTTTTAAATCGAAGATGGAGACCACACTGGGACAGCAGGCTGAGTCAGCGCGTCCTGACCAACGTGCTACAGCGTGCACTGCTTGGGGAAGGGGCTCTGGTCCCAGGGGACACGGGAATGAGACGCAGAGGAGGCAGGTCGGGTTCAGGGTCACACAGTGTGTGGGGGGCGCAGGGCTGAAGCTGGAACAGGACCCCATTGGCCAGATGCTCCTCCTCAGCTCTGAGCCAGGGCAGAGCACATCTCCCCCCACACACAACACTGAGCTCTGTGGGTGTCCCTGGCGCTCTCCAGCCTTGGTCAAGGTCACCTGGACTGTGAGCCCCCGTTTGCCACTGCTGGAAGCCCAGCAGCTGGGGCCTGGAAACTTCTCAAACCTGTTTACTTTGGGGCCAGATGGTTTTCCTGCAGGGGTGGGTCGGGCAGCTGGGCTGCCATCCGTGGGGCTCCCGATCACCCCAGGCCCCACCCCCAGCCACCCTGGCCTCAGCAGCCGCCTACTTGCCTGCTTCTCCTGGCTGTGGCTCCCTGCCCAGCCCCCACAGAAGGGGGTCTCTCTCAGTTCTTTTCCCGAATCCTCTTCTTCCAGAGGTCGCGCAATGGCAGCCCAGTGGCCTCCTCAGCCCTGTGGGCCAGTAGATTTTGTTTGGTCCTCACAGTGTTTTGCGTTTCAATTTGAATGCCAGGAGGCGGGGCAAGCACCCTCCAAGTTCGCCACAGTCCCCATCAAGCCCTCACCCATCTGTCCCTGTCTCCGAAGGCTGCCTGGGGGCCTGCCCCATCGCCCCTTCCGTGGCCCCACAAGCCCTCCTCTGCCCAGGGAAGGGTGTCCCCAGCACCCCAGCCCTCTCCCCGGCTCTGACGCCAAATTCCAGGGACAGCCCAGGGATGGGGGTGGCCAGCTCCGAAGGCTGCAGGGGCCAGGCGAGTCAGAAGTGAGCAAGCCAGCTGAGGTTAAGGAGAGGCCACGGCCAGAGGTAAAAGCAAGTGGTTTTTTTTACTGAGCTAAGGTGAAGGCATGGAACAGAATACAAACAGGGAGGAAACTGGAGCTTATATTTTCAGTTCAAGATTGAAAAAATACAAATTGAAAAATAGAAATATTTAATTATTAAAACTCTCTTTCATAATTCTCTTGTTCCTCTGAGCTGAAGCTGGGAGGCTGACCTTCGCTGTGGCACCAAG